AAAAAAAGAGTTCCAGAGGGTTTTTATTTTATTTTTTAACATTATTCCAAGCTTACAGCAGATATTTCCTACTGGAAAAATCTACTTCTCCTCTATTTTTCATAGACGTACTGTTTCAGCATTCTTAAAGTAATTCAAGGCTTTGACATTAATTAGTTATCTCCGCTACTGAAAGGCAGGAAAAATCAATTTACCTGAATGCCATCAAGTAACTTGCTCATGCACCAAAAACTGTCAGCTTCTATGTTCTGCAGCACTTCTTCAGGCAGACTGGAAACATCAAAATTTTCCACTTCTTCTTCTTCTATTTCAGAAAAAGTGAGAGAAAAACAAGCCAATGAAGAGCACAGAGCAACGTAAAGGTGAGGAAAATAACAGAAAATAAAGACAACTGTCAATTATCTTCTAGTCGGAAACTTTAACACATTTCCTTTAAGAGGAACTAAAGGAATCATTTATTGCTCAACTGTGTCATCTATCGGCTTTAAATGTTAATGAATACTTAATTTGTTGCAGACTGAAAATCTCAAACCATGCCTGGTTAATGAGAATTAATATATAATAAATTACTTCCTTCTAGACATTTCACACCTGAAAGAGGATTATCAGAGGCACTACGTGAGACCTCAAGCTCCATATGAAGAACTCTGCAGAACATATCTACGTTTGCATTATACACAGTAAAGTTCTGACAGCTCTTGCGGAAGAATGTAGGCAATGGAGATAACGAGAAATGACTGAAGTGAAAGCGATCATCAGCAAGAAAAAAAAATATATATATACATATATATAAAAAAAGGAAGAAACCTAATTCAGATTAGACAGTTAAATTAGGTGATGTACATTTGACAAAATTAATCAAAACCAAAATGTTAGTTTCACAGCTCAAAAAACAAGACTATAAGAAGGGAAAGCTCCTTCCAAATCTAGAAAAGGTAGGAATTTATCATCAACATCAAGACTTCCTTCTGTAAGCCCAGTATAACAAAAAGAAAATTCGAAGATATACTGGCCTTTTCCAGCGACTTTCTCAGAGAGAGATTGAAAATGACTAGATTTACCATAAAATACTAAGAATTTTTTTTTAAAAGTCAGTTTAAGCAGACAAGAGGTTTCATATGAACCTTTATAACATTATCAATTTTACTCCAATTAGATCTGCCCTGTAACTCCAAAAAAAAAAAAAAAAACCACCACACCATCCACACACATACAGCCCTCTTTATTAAAGACTTGAGAAATAAAAATCAAGGACGAAAATTCACATTGATTAGAAAAGAAAGCCAGACAAAGAAGAAGAATGATGCACGTTCAACAAGCAGGAAAAAAAGTGTTTGGTATTTCCTATACACTTTCACTCAAAAAAACTTTTTGTAATTATGTTTATTACACACTCATAAATCAGCTCCCCAGTGAAAAATAAAGTTAATGCTTAATATTTTTAATTTAATTTTAATTTTCTTTCCAAAATATATACGGTAACGACATTGTGATGAGACAACCAAATCAAAAAGATTAAGGAAAAAAAGGCAAAAAAGGAAATGACATATTCTGTTTCTGCCTTGCAATGCCTAAAGTAAAACAATAAATGAAACAGAATTCCTCATATTTACATAAAATGCAAGCAACACTGAACATTTCCTCTTGAAAGAGGCACTCTTCAGGTACTCCATCAGTAAATACTTACTGAAGGAATGAGATTATGGATTACTTGCATTATGGATGTTTTGCAAGTTTCCTGTCCCTGAGCAGCTTTTCTTTTCATGATACCGCTCTCGTAATTCTGAACGAAAAGGAAGTTACAGACCACAGCAGAACACAACAACTCTTCTACAAGTGGTTATGAAAAGGCAGCAAATGAGAAAGGCTCTTTAGATTACTTATCTTACTGTTTCTTATCTTACTCTTTCAAAATCTACCACACTATATTCACATAATAGGATTTAAATCAACAAATAAGGTAAAAACTCACCTAACCAATTGAACATGCTATCTCCTTTTACAGCCAATGCGGGAAAGGAAGAAAGTTAAAGAGTATTAGCTATCTCATTCTAAAGTAGATACCTAAAATAAAGCAGATGAATCACTTCCCAAAAGATTCCTGTTTCTCAACATTAGCTATAACTTGAGCTTAAAATGACTACCTCAGAACGCAGACCACTACACTGCAGAAAGCTAAAATTAGCTGACATAAGACTGACTGCCCATCAGAAGTCTTCTCATCTTGTGACTGAACTACCTGCAACAATCAAAAATGACAGAATGTGAGAAAAGAAAGGCAGTTTGAGAAATAAGGCTGAAGGTACTTGGACTGCAAAGAAACTTTATTATTAATACTTCGCAAAAACTAGATTCTAATTTTTCTCTCAAGGGAATACTCTCAAATTAGGCAGAAAATAGATTTTTTTATTTTTTCCAGAAAAGCAGAGTATCACTTTTCAGCAACATTTCCAATACTTCCCTACTGCTTTTCATTGCTACAAGTATGTACATCAAACCCAAAAATGGATGTCAGAATATGCCATTTTGAAAAGGACTCAGGTCTGACAGTAAATTCAATATTCTAAGTAGAGGTCTCATTATTTCACAGGGGGAAAAAAAAAAAAAATCCAACAGCGATAGAAAGATAACTATGATCAAGTTGTTTCAGCTCTACTTGGGTGACCTTGTAAATCAAAAAATGCATACAGCATTCAGGAAATCATCCAATTCCTTCACTAAAAAAATTCAGTAAAAGAAAGTTCCTAAATAGAATGTCACAGACTTCCATGCATAAGCAATATCGAAATAACAATAGCATTTTAGGAAGTACTTATCCAGTTTTTCTCTTCTCATAAGCTTCTCTTTGGCAAAGATATCCAAGAACATTATGCTTTTCTGTTGCATATAGTGATTAATCCCTAGCATTATCATAAGCATCTTAATCATGAAATAAATATTTAGAATTTTTTATGATATATTCTTTAAATATGTCACTTGCAGTCCAATTTTCGTTTCTCCTGTGCTTCATATGCATCTGCAGGAAGATGCTCTCTTCTAATGTCAGAAAATGAAGTTTAGAAATACAGAAAAAAAATCTCCTAATGTAAGACAACACAGTATATTTTGACTACACACTAACAGTATTTACCTTGTGTAAGACAATTGTCTCAAACTTTGTAATGTTTTAATATACAGTTGCCAAGCTAAAGAGTAAAATCTAGCTATACAGAAATATATCAAAACATATTTTCCATTGTATCTGCTAAGACGTATCATTTTTCTATATGCTAGAACATAAGTATTTTAACCAGTACTTCTTGATTAAGATATTGTGGATGCTCACAAGGAGTTACACCATGGAGTCCATCCATATACTAAAGATGATAAAGCCTCATAAAAGCCACAAAGCAAATGAGTGCTCATGATCTGCAATAGTTCCTGCTGCATCCGTATGGCTTCATTTGCTACATTCTATTGAGAAAGTTCAAAACTGACTCTGATTATTTGAAATATCCTTTTTCCACACTACAGTGGAAATGAACATAGGCCATTCATTTTCAAGAGAGTACGCTCAAAACAAGGAACACCTGATTGGCACAATAACACGCAAAACATCAGTTTACATATTTATCACTTATTTCTGTTGGGGCATGGTGCAAAGTACTTTTTCCATGCAATGTTAAGAAAAAAAAATTAAGCTGATTCTTATATGGATTTTCTTTTTGCTTATTTATAAGGAAGAAATAAACACATTAAAGATATTTTAAAAGAAAAAGTGGAAGGGGTTTCAGGACAAACAACAGAAGCAGCAGAAATAACCATCTAAAAAGTACATGAGTTATTTAAATTTAAGTGTTGTGTTGGAAAATACAACACAAGTGCAAATTGCCATTTTAGATGACTTCAGATTTTTTTTGCCATGAGTTAAATCTGAATGGACAGTAATATAAAGATTAAATAACAAGAGAATGAGGAAAAATAGCAGGCAAATGTGTATATGAATCAACATCTGGGAAAAAAAAAATCCCTTCATAAAAATTCCCAATTACAAAGTCTCACAGCAACATTTCTCATTTTGTTCAGTTTCCTGTGGAGATTTTTATCATGCTATCTTTGTAATTGTAGAAGACAGTAAATAGTTGCCTGGAGGAAAACTGCTGTAGCATGGAGCCAATGACATGCTGTCTGAATGTGTATGCTGCTGTTAGCATGGTATCAGCAGCTTTTCAGTCATTCCCAATGCATGCTTTTGAAACTTTCCTCAGTGTGAAAAGAATCAGTAACTTGTTCTGAACAACTTTAGCTAGCTCCACTCAAAAAGGCAGTGGTATTAGAATAAAATGGAAAATTTACTAGTTACAATTTGTTAGACATTTATTTCTCCAACTATTATAAAAAATAAATATGTTAGATAATAATGACGTGCCTTCCTTAAAAAGGAAATATGGGGTTAATATGAGATTAAGACTAGTTAATACTTTTGGTGGAAGGTGTTCAAAATGTTAAAATGAAGTTCATATCTGATCTCTCATTGCCTTTTAGAAGTATTTGATTTCATTAAAAAATAACTGAATAACACCTTTTCTGTATAGATCATGAGAAAACATCTGCCACTACAGACAGATAAAATCATATAATACGAACGTTCATGTTAACTGAAGAACTAAGAAATTTTAACTTTGGAAAGAAACTTATTTATGGAAAAAGCCATGTCCCAAGATGAAGACTAAATACTGAAAATAAATGAGATTAAAGTGGAATAATATTTCTGCTTTAGTAGCTAGCAGCACTCTTAATGCATCCCAACAGCCAGCTGAGTCCAAGAATCCCTGTCCAAATGCAACAAACAGAAAGGTAACCTGTATTCAGATTTTATCTATATCTGTTACTTACACCAATTCTTAGTCTTTATAAAGAGGGAGAGAAAAAATGAATATAACCTGACAATGTTTTACTGCTTCACCACTTCAAGTAAGCTTAAACAAAACCCATTATACTAAAAAAGCATATACACTTTCAAGGGAAACGTGTTTTCAGTGCAAGCCGACACTTAATTGCCATATTACTCTTAAAATTTTAGCCCTGTATCTTGAAATGCTGTCTCTGCACTCCAATTCATACAAAACTCAGATGAGTTTACTACAGCAGGAGGTAGGAGCCAAAATGCATGGTAGAATAAGAAAAAAAAAAAATCAAATGGAGAAGCCAAGAACAGACCTGTAAGACGGTCATTAAATTAGGTTTGGTTTTCTACTTTTATACATAATTTATAACTTAATTTATAATTTATATTAACATTAGAAATGCTAATTTGCTGAACAT